CACACGCACACGCACACGCACACGCACACGCACACCCACACGCACACGCACACCCACACCCACACGCACACGCACACGCACACGCACACGCACACGCACACGCACACGCACACGCACACGCACACGCACACGCACACGCACACGCACACGCACACGCAAACGCACACGCACACGCACACGCACACGCACACGCACACGCACACGCACACGCACACGCACACGCACACGCACACGCACACGCACACGCACCCGCACACACGCACACGCACCCGCACCCACACACACACACACACACGCGCACCCACACACACACACACACACACAGTCACACACACACACACAGTCACACACACACACAGTTACAGTCATACACGCAAGCACAAACACACAATCACAGATGTTGAAGCTTTGATAAAGCTTATGCCTTTATGGTTTGTGCCTCTGCAGCCGTAGCACCTTGCACATGTCAGGATGGTATGACGACGAGGTGTACGACGAGGACGAGGTGGGCCATGGGAGCCTGGGATCACGCAGCTTCAGTGGGTTCAGGGTTTAGGGGATTTAAGGCTTTGTTAAGGCTTTAGGGTTTAGAGTTTGCCCCTGTGCAGAGCGGCACAAAGGCCCCAAACCCGCATTGCGGCGTTCATTCAGGATTTCTGGCGCAGGCTTTTGAGCCTTAAAATCCTCCTCACTTTCGGCTCCTGGCTTCTGTGAGCGATACCTTTCTGGCTGGTTCTCACTCCCCTTATGCTTGGGGAGTTGCTTCTACAGGGGTTTCGGCTTTGGAGTTTCGGTTTGGGATCATTGAATTTCGCTATCTTGTGGGTCGGTCGGTTTTTGGGGCTTCGGTGCTGACGGCCTTGCAGTAGATTTCGCAAAGAGACCATGCAAGGAAGCCCCCACCCTAGGAACCTCCAAATACAATAATGAGAAGGTTTTATGCTACAGGGTTCTGTGGGGCAGAGGGGGTGAGAACGCTCTGATTCGACGACTTTCCCGAAACCCGGAACCTCCAACTGGCCAATCCTCAGTCCGAAACCCTACACTCTTGAGCCATGTTGCCGTCACCCCTACTGGAAATCCTGGGCTTTAAACTCTGCTTGACCCCCAACAGGCCGTCTCTGGTAAAGCCTAACCATGTCCCAACACAGCCCCAGAAAGGACAGAGAAAGCATACCGGGGATGGGCGGAGGCGGGGCGGGAGTGTTGCTGATCATGTCACGATAGTTGCTGTCGAACACCTGTATCATTGCCAGAATGAAGTTGCATAGGTGGTCGTCGTTGCATAGGGATCCGCCTCGACGAGATCACTACTGAAAACCCATGCATCATACATGGACCTCATGCAAGTGCACGAAAGTTGGATCAAAGTGGATGCCGAACATAATCGCGATCACTGCAGTTGCTTCTTCACCTTTGAAGCGTAAAACGGAATCCATTGCGGATCCCATACAAATCGCCTAGAGAGGACATCATGCTCGAGCGACTCTCTGGAGAAATGCGCCGGTGCAGCTTGCTTAACACAGTGTCGGAGCTCATCCCACGAATGGCCAACTTGATGACAGATTCCGCATCTGATCTCTTTTCCAGCACGCTCTATAGCCCGCACTTTTGCACTTTGGATGGCCCCCGTGACGAGGCAGAACCCCACGTTGCGATGCAATCGTGCCTTCTGCCTAACTTTGGTACATCTTTACTCTTCGTATGGTGGGATCACTTCGCCCTGCAGCTCATGCCTATTACTGGCGGCCAACTTGCTGTAATGCAATCGACGCCAGGATTCCCGTAGCATGTGTCCCACTCGATGCGCATCCGAACTCAGATTGAAGAAACCACAATCCGCATGTCGCCAACCGTTTCCCTCCGGAGTCCACCCAAGCTCACCAAGGGCATCACGGACCAACGACCGCATGAAGTTGCATACGACCATGGCCTTTCGCGCCCTTAAACCGGAGCGGTAAACCCCTGTAAACCCTGAAGCTTATAGATCATATCCTGGTACCCGAAATTTGGGGGGCTGGCAAGTTTACGCCACGCTATGCTCGTCAAAGAGAAAACCCCAAAAGTTTACGGTTTGGGGGCTTATTTAGGGATTCAGGAGCGGACCGAAAAGCTTACATAATCCAGCAGTCACCCCGAAATTTTGCGCCCCGAAGACACGGCGCAAGTTTTATTCTCGGCTGTAGTGTTTAGGGTTTGGGGTCTGACAGTTTGAGCTACGGTTCAGAGCTGCGCATGGCCCCATTTCGGAAAGCCGCAACGGTACACATATTATGTGTTTTTCAATGAAGCTGTTGCTGTTGTTGAAGATGCTGTTGCTGTTGCTGATGATGCTGTACTTTGTTGCTGATGATGCTGTTGCTGTTGCTGTTGCTGTTGCTGTTGCTGTTGCTGTTGCTGTTGCTGTTGCTGTTGTTGTTGCTGTTGCTGTTGCTGTTGCTGTTGCTGTTGCTGTTGCTGTTGCTGTTGCTGTCGCTGCTGCTGCTGTTGTTGTTTTTCTTGTTGCTGTCGCTGCTGCTGCTGCTGTTGTTGTTTTTCTTGTTGCTGTCGCTGCTGCTGCTGTTGCTGTTGTCGTTGTGTCTGTTGCGGTTGCTGTTGCTGTTGGCGTTGCTCTTGTTATTGTTTTTGTTGGCGTTAGGTAGGTGCTAAAATCCGTTTTGTCGGTTTTGCACTTGTGCGCCAGGTTGTGCTTTCTCCGGGAACTTGGTCCTGCGCACGCCAGAGCACAGATGGTCAAAACAACACTCGCGGGCATGACGAGAAGTTCATTGGTTTTTTCATCCGTTGGGAAATACGGTCCGTCGTCAGCAGCGCGTTGACCTCCGGTTTTCGTTTGGCACAAACAGGTTGCAGGATCTTTGCAGCTAGATTGGATACGTTGATTCTGACCGAAAGATCGGCTGATGATATTGAACATCATCCATTGCTGTTGGGCTGTGGAGGAGTAATGACACATGTGACAATATTAAAGATATGAAACCTTCCAGTCAAAGAAGCGTGTTCGGTCTGATTTGCGCGTGTCTTCAGCATGGGTTCTACATGCTCAAGAGTTTTTTCAGCATGGGGGCGGTGGTCTTCTTGAACAGAGATAGATTTAGATGCACCTGAAGTTCGGTTATCACTTTGTGTTCCATATTATGATTTGTTACTTTCTGAACTGTTTGAACTGAGCTTAGTTTGAGTGCAGATTTTCGGGTTGATGTTTAGAGGATCATCCAAGCACGGCTTAACGGAGATAGTGGTGTCAAACCGTCAGCATTGTCAAAGGGGAAGCCGAATCGAAAAAGCTACCAAGAATGTTGAGCGGCGTTGTTCACATTGCATGCGACCGCAGCCGTTTTTGTCCACAAGGTTGCATGGTTGTTTCGTGCACGAAACCGATCGGTGTATTGGAGCATCTACTATTAGCCAACTCCGCAAGGCGACAGTATTGACAAATAGGTTTCAGTGGATGTAAGCTTGTGGCAGTCAGTACTGCACCGGCAAAGGTTCCAGAATTTCTTGACATGCAATGCTGTACACGTGGAGCAAGACCGCATCTAGCTCAAACGTGCACCCTCCACTGATTGTTTCTTCCGAGTTACTACAAGGTTCAAACAATGCGAACAGTTTTCAAAGATGTTGAAACGTATCACTGATGCGTTTCGCTGTAAGAGACGAGAAACACGACGCCTTGCATGTCTATGTGCCAAATTTGCACACCAGCGCCGCAGCAGAATGTGCGGCCCTATCTTGCAGGTGCAGTTGGGATGATGATTATGGAATCCAAACGTGCATCGGGTATTGAATGGGTATTGACAAGCCGCCCGAGCATGGGCGCCAAAAGCTATTGGTTCTTTTGACGGCACATTGACGGCAAGATCAGGAATTTCGGTTCATGCTTCGTAGTATGAAGAACGTCGTAGCAAAGGATTCCGACTGGCGGGGCCAGGCAGACTCCCGCATGTTGCTACGTACGCTTTGGATGCAATGTTGTAGGTCATCAACTCCCGAAGCAGTCCTCCCACATTTCCCAAGCAATTCCCAAGCAAAAGACCGCGTTACATTACGTGTGCACAGCAAGTGTCTTTCGACAGCAGGCAGAATTCACAATGGCGAGGACCGTGGACTGTGTGCTTGCCTTCGGAGCTTTTCAGGGACTATGGTTTGCAAGCTTGGTTGTTTGTAGCTGGTCCAGTACTGCACCATCGCCTGTGCAAGGTTGAAAGCTGCAACCGCAACACACTAGCTCGGCTCTTCACCGTCTATGCTATAGGTTGAAAAAGCTGCAGCTGTCTGCACATGTCGGGGTGACCGACCGTGTCCGCAAGGGTTTGCGTGCCAATCTTGCTCGAGCTGCTGGATCATCCGTTTCCCGGGTGCTGACAGATGTTGACAGGAAGTCGGGACAATGTCAGTTCATGGATGTGTGCCGGCTCACCACAGCGTTTGCAAAGATTTCCGGGCCGTGTTGACATGAACAACTGTTTACCTGGAGCACCAAGCTTTACTATGCACCTTGCACTAGCCACTGCTTCCCACAAGATTTTCTATCGTTCGAACTGCTCAAGCAGCCTTCAAAGCCTCTGATCATGTACTGTTGATGGGCTGTGACGTAGTCGACGATACGACTCGACACCAGTTGTCACTTTGCCATTGTGCCGACCAGCGCAGCAGCAGAATCTGCTGCTTGACCTAGCTTGCAGGCGGGTCGGAATGAAGTGGGCGATATCATTTCCACATGCAGAAACGAGTCCGTAATTCGCAAGCCGACAAAGCATTTACGCTACCGCAAGACTCGTGAGCGATTTGCTCTTCTGACGTCGTTGTGCTTACGGGACTATTGTCAAGTCGTTCGCCTTTTCCAGTAACAGGCTACCTGCATTGGCATTTCACATGCGCTGGAGTGTTCATCGCCGGAGGGTCCCAAACATACTGCCGCATGTTCTGAGACCCTAGATGCACCGTCCTTGGCTGGCGAAACGACTCCTCGAGTTGCACTGCCAAAGCAATCCGACGATTGCCAAGCCAAAGATAAAGCCCTTCTTGGGGTACAGGCGACCTCGACAATGGCGAGGACTCTGAGATGCAGCCCTGTGGAGTTCCATCTAGAGATCGTTGAGCCAGGGCTGCCCGTAGCAGATCTGTCCAAGCTTCCAAGAAGCCCGTCGCAATGTCACCTGGAATTTCATTCTGAGACAAAGTCCTCTTGAAAGTTGCAGCCAGCGACTCAGACGTAGGAGCTCTTCGTCGTCGCTGCTGTTCCCGGCTGCCACTTGCGCACGATTTGCATCCGCCTACTTACGGTGTTTGAGGTGTTGAATTAGATCATGTGTTTGATTCATATGGTTGTATTGTTTCCTTCGTCGGGACTACATGATGGTTCGTTTTCCGATCAACAGAATAACAATAACCAAACTTACAACACCCTTCCTGCCTGACCCTGAGCATTGTTGAACCTTATAAAGCCCTCCAGAGCCTTTCAAGCGGATGTTATTCCCAGTTCTTCCTCGCGCCTAAAGCTCGAAACCCTACACCCTCAAACTCCTCGCTTCCATCACCTCGTAGTCACTGCAAACTCGTAAGGGACATTATTCCTCTCACTTTATCTCTTGAAGCCAAGCCCCTGCAAACTCCTTCAAAGGAGACATTGTGTCGAATATTTCCTCTTCCTGCCCTAAATCCTCGACCCCTTAAGCCCCAAACCCCTCAAAGGAACGCTGAAAAGGGAAGCTTTTCCCCTTCTCTTTTCTCAGCTCTTTCGCCAGGTTCTGCTCGGCAGCTTCCTTTACGCCCTCTGCCCACGGGAGGCCAGGGCTATGAGGGCTCCTTACGAGTTCTACACAAGTTCAGCGGTTTAGGGTTTAGGGGGATTTAGGGGGGGTTCTACACAAGTTCTTTAAGGGTTCTAGAAAGGGTCTACAAAGGTTCCGGAAAGGTTCTTCAAGGATTTCGATACAGCTTCTTTAAGGTTCCACAACGGGGTCTGTAATGAATCCCTCCGGGTTCTAGAATCAAAGGGGAAAAGGAGGGACTCTTAATGGGGACCCCTACTCTATAATGGGCTATATAATGGGCATATAATACCTTTATTAAGGGTATATACCTAGAGGTCCTTATTAAAGGTCCCTCCTTTTCCCCTTGGATAGAAGAGATCTCGAAAGGTTCCAGAAGCTGGCGCCCCAGCTGCAAAACCCTAAAACCCCCAAACCCTAAAACCCCAAATCCCTAAACCCCCAAACCCTAAACCTAAAACCCTAAACCCTAGAAGCCCTTCGAGTCCTGGGGCCCCATGCCCCTGAAGCCCGAAAGCCTTAAACGGCCAAACCCTACTCGTCCGAGGCGTTCTTCCTCCCCAGCGCCTGGCGTTGCGGGCTTAGTTTTTGTGGCGTCAGTCGGGTTTTTTTGTCTTCAGGGTTTCGGGTTTAGGGTTCAGCGTTGTGTCACGTAGTACTACGGGTGTGTCTGTGTCAGTGTTGTTGTCTTCCTTTCGATGTTGGTACATGTTGTGGTGTTAGTCGTTTTTCGTGGCTGTTTATGTTTTCCTATCTCTGTCGAAACTGAGCTCTGAAGAATCAAAACCCTCAGCCCTAAACAACCCCTGATAGAACCCTTTGTAGAAACCCTTTCTAGAACCCTTATTGAACCCATGCAGAGACCATATAGAACCTGTCTAGAATCCCTCTAGAACCCTTAGAGCCGGTGCAAACAAAACGCCAAACCCCTAAGCCTAAACTCTAAACCCTGTAAACCCCGTAAACCCTAAACTCTAAACCCTGTAAACCCCGTAAACCCTCAACCCTGTAAACCCTGTAAACCCTAAACCCTAAACCCTAAACTCTAAACCCTGTAAACCCTAAACCCTAAAACCTCAGCCTACCAGCCTGCAACGATTTCCGTTCCTAGCAGGATCGGAGCCGGAGGCCCAGGAAGCGGCGCAGCCCTCAGTGGAAGATCTTGTTAATACAATCATTACTATGCTTCTACGACGACGACGACTACTGGTAAAACTATTATTGTGGTGATTACTACAACTATTAAGAGTTTCTAAACCTTCTGAGGTTCATAGCGTAGTCGCAGACATGACAGTATAGCCAACATTCATGTTGGCAGCTCGCATGAGTTGTTTAGTTAAGTTATCAAGTTATCAAGACGTGCAGAACTGAACGTGTAGCTATGATACATGCACCCGCATTCGTAGCATTTCTTCCGTTAGCTTGTGGTATGGTGATAACAATAAAACAAGCAGTTCCTGTACTTGTCAGTTGGATTTTGTCAGGCAGTTCGAGGTTGTCGTTTCTTTCCAAGACCATGTGGCTTCGGGATGCAACAATGACTCCGCCAAAACCAAATGACTAGTGTTGCTGTTTTGAATCATATTTGCAACTGCTACTGCTGCTAGAGAGGTTATGAACACAGTTCCTGTGATTGCTGCTGCAAGGAATGATACTACTGTTGGTATTGTAAGTTCCGCTAAAGTTCCAAAGCCCTACAGAGCCCATGTAGCAGCCTACCCGGAGACTCCAATATCCCTTAATTAAGGAATATTCAATAAATCATATTAGGGATCCGACTATAATTTAATGTATATTCCTTAGTTCGGGGATTTTGGGCTCTCTGGGAAACGAAATCCTATTGACATCCTACGAAGTCCGAGGAAAAGGGCTTCGTAAAGCCTTCAAAAGCCTTCCAAAACCACATAAAGCCTTGTGAGACATCCTGAGAACCCTTTAAGAACCCCTATAAGTCCCGTAAGAACACCCTAAAAACCCTTTTAAGAGCCCGGTTGCCGCAGCTCTTTCGTGCCTGCGGCGAGGCCGCTCCCAGCTCGTCCCGCCGGTCGCTGCTCGCCGGGGCTTTGGCAGTCGGGCCCTCAGCCAACGAATTACATGTGTATGCACATATATATATATATGTATGTTTGTATGTATGCACGCATGCACGCACACATGCATGCATGCATGCGTGTATGCACGAATGTATGCATTTCAAATACACACACACACACACACACACGCGCGCGCAAGTATGTTTGTATGTTCGTATGTTTGTATGTATGTACGTTCGCATGTGGCACATGGCCGCCACACCATGGAGTTGTTCTCTTGTTATGAAGGTCGCTGCGCCCGAGCGGGCCAATGCTCTCACCACCGAGGATGCGCAGCGATAAATGGGTTCCGAAAGCCTTCCGAAGTTTTTGGTGGCGTTATACTGCGATGTATCCCGAAACTCTTGTCGGCCCATGTGAACGTATCCGTTTAGTGACTACTGCGGTATGGCCCCCTGCCCAAGGCTGCGCGAAAAGGTTGTGAGAAGCTGTCGGGATCTACTGGGTGTCCCCGCTCTAGGTTGCGCCTGATATCGTCACTTTGTTTAGGATCCAGGGTTTAGAGTCTAGGGATTCCAAATTCCAAAGCTGACGATGGCAATTCTGGCGAGTATGGTGATAGTGAAAATCATGAAGCTGACATTGAAGTTGATACTTGCAAGGTTGAACCTGGGGACGATGATGGTGACGGTGATGGTGATGATGATGAAGAAGATCGTGAGAATGATGCGGATGATGAGGATAAGGACGAGGACGAGGATGATGAGAGCGAAGGATGGTAGTGATCGTGATCTTATTGGCCACAATGAAGGAGACATAGAGCAATGTGACTGATGGTGCTGCATCATGTAATGTCCGGTTCTCCACCAGGCATGTGTGAGTCTCCGAAAATAGGGGACCTTAATATGGCACCCTAATAGTACGATGCTTATTAGAAGGACCCCAAAATAAAGGTACCCCTATTTTCGAAAACTCCCATGTGATGGCACGGATGTCAACCGCCAAACTGGTGAGTCCCCATCACGGCCCGCAGCCCCCATTGCAGGAGCTGCGTGCGGCCAACCTCTTCCTGACGGCCTCACCGAGTGTTCCATGGCTGAAAGAAGGATTGTGGTGTAGGGGCTATTACAAGGATTTAGTATAGGGGCCTTAATAGTTAGAATAGGGTTTGGGACCCATACATTCTACTATAATCTGTGCACAGACTGGAGTTTGTGTCCAGGAATTCATGCAGGTTCAACCTTCCAGCAGGAAGAACCTACTGACTGGCTTGCTTTCGCAGATGAATGGTTAGATTGTATTCCGATGCCCGGCTGCTCTGCCATCCTGTGCCGAGGTTCTCAGCGTTTCAGAAGGCAAGAAGAATGCCGGAAACTCGGGAGGTTTGACCCTAGCCCTGACCGCGAAACTCAGAGAAGCTTCTCAGCTGCATAGCCCCGCCTTCAAATTGGAGGTTCCCAGAGGGAGTCAATTTATCTTCCTTTGGGGTTGGAGGGTGTGTAAGGGGGAAGAAATTAGAGGACATGAGGCTTCAATCTTGTTCTATAGGGAAGAGGCAAAGAGAGTCCGAACGTGCAGGATTGCTGACCCGCCAAGAGGGAACGTGTAGTTTTGCTTGGACCGTCGCGAAACAGATTTGGGAGTTTCCGAAAATTAGGGGTACTTTTTTGGGGTCCTTATAATAAGGATCCTACTATTTAGGGTACTAGATTAAGGTCCCCCTATTTTCGGAAACTCCCATTTGTATAGTGTCTTTCGCATGCATCGGGCTCCTCCACAATCCAAGACCCAAGCTCTCTAATGCACCCTAACCCAAAGATCCCTAAACCCTCGAACCCCCAAGCCTGCCACAATCGCAATCCTTCATCCTAAATGGAGATCCCCCCCAAAGTCATCAGACTGATCTTGGCTGCTGGGATAGCAAGTTTTGACAGGTACATGTTTTCAAGCCTCACTAGTTGCAGAGGCCTTGTCAGTCCCTGTCACGCCTGACATTACTCACGACATCTCGTTGAGAAGAAAAGTGTATGGACTGCTAAATGTATGAGAATAGGGCACCAGGGATCCCTGTCCGCTGATAGTACCCCGTGCTGAACTCGAAATCAGTGTAGCACGTGGTCTGCAACCTCGCTGCACTATCACGGTCACCACAAGACATGCCGGCCGTGCAACTCGTAACATCCGGGATCCGTGGTTTTCTCGTAGGCAAGACATTCACTACGAAATTATTAGTACTCTGTTTCTATGTGCCAGCATTTTTATTGTTGTCATTTTTGTTGGCATTAACTGTTGTCACTACAACCGCTAGCATTAGTATTCATATCAGTCTTGTTCCTCTTCTTGCTTTGCTATAATTGTGTTTGCCGCTATTATTATTGTATTGTTCTTCGTCTTCTTCTTCATCACTTGTCATCATAGTCGTAGTGTTCGTGTTTTTGCTTCCTAGTGTTCGTCTTATTCCCTGGAACCCTTAAAGGAGCCCTTATGGACCCCTTACAGGAACCCTTAAAGGAGCCCAAGATCAAAGCTCGAGTCGTTACCTGAGGCGCCGGGTCCCACTGGCACCGGCTTTGTCTGGGATGCCTCGCATGCCTGCACCTCATCAGGGCGTAAGAGGGGCTTGGGGTCTATAGGCTTTTGAGCTAGTGGGCTTAGGGTTTATGAGGCAAGGCCGAGCTGTGGGGTACCAGGAAAATGCCAGTTTGCCACAGTAACCTCGCACCAAGCTTGAGACCTCTCCACCCCTTCGGCCTGCTGGGGTGCATCCGAGCATCCTAGTTTTGTTTGAAACGGGTGGCCGAAAGTACGCAGCGGACGCTGAGCCGTGAACCCTGGCACATGTGAGAGGTTGTGACGAACTTCCACGTGGTGAAGGAGTTGAAGAGCCCCCACGTCACATTCCTCCGCAAGGCCTGAGTGGCCGCGGTGGTGACAAAGTTTATCCACTTCAGGGCTGTTGTGCCATGCTATGGTGTGAGCTTTGTTGGTGTGGTTGAGTCTTTGTTACTATTGCCATTGCTTGCCCCAAGATAGATTTCAAGCATCGACTCGGATCACAATTACAAGGACCCTTGACCCCAAACCCTATATAATCACTAACCCTAAACCCTAGACCCTAAACCCTAAACCCTAAACACTAAACCCTAAACCCTAGACGCTAAACCCTAAATCCCTGAAACCGACTCCGGGCGTCGCAGTGCTGTGGCTGCCAGGACGAGTCCGGCAGCGAAGATCACATCACCGTCGGTGCCGGACCTCCCTTTATTTTGGGGCTTCCTTATTTTAACTATCGTATAATAGCCCCAAAATCCTGTTAGAACACAGGAGCGGGGCCTAGTTCTTTATAATATAGGGGCCTACTTCTTTATAATATGGGGGCCTACTTCTTTAGAATATAGGGGCCTAATTCTTTATAATATAGGGGCCTAATTCTTTATCATATACCTATAGTCTCCATTGTAGTTCCTCTTTTTGGTTAACCCAAATCTCTATTATCGGTTCCTAACCATGAAAAACTCGTTAACCAAAGAAGGGAACTACAATGGAGACTATATGTAGGGGCCTAATTCATTACCGATACTATTTTGGGGCTTCCTTATTTTAACTATCGTATATAATGCCCCCAACATATTGTTCTAATTATTAAGGCCTCTACATCATGTGGGTTTAGGGGGTGCCTCCCTTGGTTACGAGAATCGCACCGTTGGACCAGAAGGGAATGTTATACTAAGTGCGCCATGGTATATGTCCGCTACATATTGGGATTGTAGGCGTCATAGGGCGACCATTTCGGGCCTCCATCAAAGCAAATGCTTTCCTGCCCCAACCCCATCTCGGTTTTCGGAATTTAACGCCGCCCACACTAGAGTCTTCAGATTTGCTATCTTCGCCCTGACGTGTCGGGTCAGAAGGTAGATTTAATCTTTTTCATGAATATTTGGGAGTCCTTCGTGTTGTTACATTTTGTTTCAGCGTTTAGACCTTAAAAGCTTTAGGGCTGAGGGTTTCAATTTCTCAGTCCCATGATGTCCCATGTCTTGATGCTCCGCCGCTTTACGCAGATGAGCCAACACATGACGTTGTTGGGTGTTCCTAGCAGTCTGTGGGTTTTGCAGTCATACGGAGCCAGGCATTCTGACCGGTAGCGTGCAAAGAAGCGTTTGTGTAGAGCATCCGGAAGTTTAGACACATCTGAAGGCATGTTCAAGTTAGGACCATTTAGGAGGCAGGATGCCTGTCTTGTCGAAACATCTTTTGCTTGCGCTATGTTGCGCCGCTGCATTCGAGACTCGGCAAATGTCGTATTTGCTGGGTGGAGTCTCGCGCACCGGCTCTCGCCTGATGCTTTCAAGTCTAATGTTGGATTGATATTAATAAACCCCTCCCCCCCCCCCCTGAGGTTGTTTTGCGCGGGCGTCTCTTGGGGCAGGGTCTGGGGTCCGGGTCGCAATAGTAAACCTCTGGCCTGCTCCGGGCCTAGTATACTAGTAGTAATAGTAGTAGTAATAATAGTAGTCATAGTTGTAATAGTAGTAATAGTAGTACTAGTACTAATAGTAGTAGTAGTAGTAGTAGTAGTAGTAGTAGTAGTAGTAGTAGTAGTAGTAGTAGTAGTAGTAGTAGTAGTAGTAATAGTAGTAATAGTAGTAATTAATAGTAGTAATTAATAGTAGTAATTAATAGTAGTAATTAATAGTAGTAATTAATAGTAGTAATTAGTAGTAATAGTAGTAATAGTAGTAATAGTAGTAATAGTAGTAGTACGTGAAGTCTCAACCTGTGGCATTCGCGGCACTCTGGCTTCTGTGCCCTCGCCCCTTCTGCTTTCCTTCTGAACTCCCTCTGACGCCACTGGACTGAAGCAAGGAGTCTGCCCGGCTCAAGTTTAGCTGCTGCAGTTCCTGGAATCCGGAGTCCCTGGCTTCTTGCCAAAGTTGCCAGAAGAAGGGCTGCAAAGGGTTACCCTTGCCGGGTTTGTGAAATGGCTCCGTTTATTTAGAACTGGAATAAGGAACCGACCTCAAGTTTAGCTGCTGCAGTTCCTGGAATCCGGAGTCCCTGGCTTCTTGCCAAAGCCTGCAGCTTTCGAATACCAAAGCCTCTGGCTTCTTGTCCAAAGCCACTGGCTTCATAGCTTTCCCAACAGCAAGGCTTCCCATCGGGAGCCCCTCCCCCGGATGAGTTTATTATTGCCACCCCGTTTATAATTGCCAGAAGAAGGGCTGCAAAGGGTTACCCTTGCCGGGTTTGTGAAATGGCTCCGTTTATATAGAATTGGAATAAGGAACCGACCTCAAGTTTAGCTGCTGCAGTTCCTGGAATCCGGAGTCCCTGGCTTCTTGCCAAAGCCTGCAGCTTTCGAATACCAAAGCCTCTGGCTTCTTGTCCAAAGCCACTGGCTTCATAGCTTTCCCAAAAGCAAGGCTTCCCATGGGGAGCCCCTCCCCCGGAGGAGTTTATTATTGCCACCCCGTTTATAATTGCCAGAAGAAGGGCTGCAAAGGGTTACCCTTGCCGGGTTTGTGAAATGGCTCCGTTTATATAGAATTGGAATAAGGAACCGACCTCAAGTTTAGCGGCTGCAGTTCCTGGAATCCGGAGTCCCTGGCTTCTTGCCAAAGCCTGCAGCTTTCGAATACCAAAGCCTCTGGCTTCTTGTCCAAAGCCACTGGCTTCATAGCTTTCCCAAAAGCAAGGCTTCCCATCGGGAGCCCCTCCCCCGGATGAGTTCATTATTGCCACCCCGTTTATAATTGCCAGAAGAAGGGCTGCAAAGGGTTACCCTTGCCGGCTTTGTGAAATGGCTCCGTTTATATAGAATTGGAATAGGGAACCGGTGTCCCTGCGAAGCTGCAGCGGTATGTGCTGAACAGACTGCGTCTGGAGCTGGGTCTGCCACCTAAGGCAGCCTGAGTTCTTCTGTTTCACAGCTCTCTGGATGCCATTGGATCTGCCGAGGGGTGGAGTGAAACAGTCTGGAACTGCACTCTGCGAGCTAGTACTTCAGTGTCGTCTGTGCCGATCTGCATTCTGCTGGCTGGTTTTCCTCTGAGTTTGAGCATTTGCCAATTGATTAATTACTCAACCTGGATCCTAATTTTTTGGTGATTTGGGGCCCTGAATATTTTAATTGTCACCCCTTTTATAAATGTAACCTCCCATCTATGATAAGTTGTTTGGGGCATTTGGGCTCCGCCCTTTAAACTCCTCTTCCGTCCGGAAATTCTGGCCCAGGAAATATTTTAATTATCACCCGGTTTAATAAATTCAATTCAACATTACCCAGGAGCAGACTCAAGCAAGTGAGGGCCTCGAAACGCTGGTCTGGGATGATGCCTGCCTTTTGAATGTGGCTTGGCCGCAGACAAATATGTTGAACCCTAGATTTGCTGGTGCGACTTGCGCCGACTAGCATTGTGCCGCAAACGGTCCAATGTCAGCAATGGTCTTCTGGTTTGTTTTGTTTTAGTGTGAAACTTCAGACATTCTGCAACCCTCCAGTCGAACCGTTCTCTCACGGACAACTTGTTCGATCATGACACGTGGGCTCAGGCATCGTGCGAGGAAGGCGCCTTGGCGTTGCGAGGCTTTTTATGTTGCTGATTTAGGGTGTAGGTTATGGGGTAATGGATTATCGAAGCACCACAGTGTTACCTGCAGCCTGTTGCAAGTCTGTGCGGACATGGTCCATGTTGCTGCGTTTAGTAAGCTGCCCACGAACGAGTCATGTCTGGCACAGACCTATGCACCCTGAGCCCTAAAAACCATGACCCAGAAACCTTTGCGGTGCCCTGTGGAGCTTAGCGCAGAACAAGAGCTTGACATGCCATTGGACCCTAAACACTAGCCTGGTACAGGCCCTTCTTGTACGTCCCCCGCTGACTGCTCTTTTCGGTGGCCGCCCGACACCTTGATCATACGTACGCAGGCACGCATGCATGCATGCCTGTTTGTTGATCAAGGTGCCTCTTGGCGCCAGCTCCGAGCAAAGGCGTTCGCCGTGCGAAGGCAAGGAGGGTTGAGGAGGGCACGAGAACTCTTGAAGGGTTTTCCAGGAAACGACAGGTTCAGGAAAGCACCAAGTCTGTTTTGTGGCTTTCTCCAGGTTTGCAGGAAGATGCCAGAAGAGAATGCAACATGATTTGTGTACCGCGACCTGCGTAGAACCATGCACAAGCCGCATCGGAAATGCTCGTCTGTGAGGGGAACCCATAAACCCCAAGCCCCTAATTTCCTTAAGCCCTAAACGAACCCCCACACAAGAAACCCTAAAGTCTGCAGCCATGGGAGATGACGATCTCCCAGTTGTGGGAAAGGCTCGGGCTCGGGGCAGGTCAAAACTTTCAGAACGGGCATGGCATATTTGCAGGGATCCATAGGGTTGTGTAGGGTTTAGGGTCTAGGTTAATTAGATAATTAGTGAATATATCTGTTAGTTAGCTAGTCAGTCAGTTAGTTGTTAGTTAGTTACTTAGTTAGTCAATTATTCAGTTAGTTAGTTTACATATATACACATACATATTGTATAGTTTTCATGTTTGGTGAGAAGCCCGATATATGCTCTGGTCGGGAGCCCAGTTACGCTCAGCAGAAATATATGTATACATGTATGTATATATATACACATACACATGTATGTATGTGTGTATTCATTTATGTATGTGTATATATATACACATATACATAGAGTGTTGTGTAGGTACATGCGGTTACTTCCACGGGGGTTTGGTATTCCAGATCCCAGCAGCCACATCTCGGAGCTACATCTCGGGCTGTCCACGTGGGAGTTTCCGAAAATTAGGGGTACCTTATTTTGGGGTTCTGAAGATAAGGATCCGACTATTTAGGGCACTATATGAGGATCCTACTATTTTCGGAAACTCCCATATGGATCCTTAAGACCTTAATGACCCTAGACTGTAGGAATTTGAATATTCCTTATTCTGGAGCGGGGTACTATATTAGGGTCCCCCCCTGTTTTCGGAAGCGCCCATGTCAGGCCCCCGAGCCCTGCGGCCGAACGCTATCTCGGCCTGGTGCCCTCGATGGAAGTTCCCCGGAACCCCAGGGCCTTCCATGGAACCAGAACCCTAAACCCCTAAACCCTAAACCCCAGGGGAGATGAGGACTGTCCTTTTTTTGGAGAGTGCAATGAAAGGACTTATGTGTGGTGCATCCTTGAAGGCGACCTAAAGAGGCCTCAAAGCTAGCAAGCAGCAAGAAGTCAGGGTTTGTTGGTGAGCTGG